GAGATAACATTTCAACCTTTGGATTTTACCGATAGTTCATTTTGAAAACCCCAACCCCAAAAATTAGGTCATGCCAGCTTCAGCCGCTGTGGGCGAGAAACATATCTAATGTGACTTTGTCCCACACGTGCCAGTGCTCGCGCGACAAAAATCTTGTTGTTGGAACGCTTTTTTTTGTATGGCTGATATTCCACAAATAGAAAATGCGCTTTTGTACATGTCTGCTGGTGTTTCCTCAGTTTAGGATTTTGAGCGTTTTTGCACGCGCGGAGCGGTGTTCGTGTTCCTGTTTTGGAGCTATTTTACTGTGGGCGACGCATCGCTGGCCAGCTGTTTTACGCGGCGTGACTCCTCACACATGTTGTTACGCGTTGTGGCTCCTTACACATCTTGATGCTTTAGATGATTTTGTTAGAAGGGCAAACTTCTGAAATCCAAGACCGAAATTTCGAGGTTTAGGCATTTGGACAACATCCTAAACGTGAATTCTCAAGAGTGAGCATCAGGGATTTTCAGAGCTAACGTATAGGCTAGACCGCCGGTAGGCTTTGCGGGTTGAGGGTTAAAGGTTTAGGGTGTTTAGGGTTTGTTTGAAACTGGGCGTAGGCTTGACGTACGAGGCGGAGCTTTGATTAATGGGGCGATGCTAAAAAAAACAGAACTCCTCACACCCTTGGACTTATGGGGCGTAGCCTGGACTAATGGCACGAAGCTTGGACTAATGGGGCGGAGCTTTGACGAATGTTGCGTAGCTTGTGTTAATGAGGCGATGATAAAAGCAAATCAGAACTCTTGACGACCCTGGACTGATGGGGCGCAGCTTGGAGTACTGGAAGGCATGGATGCCGAGCCCATTGCGGCGGTTTACAAGCGAAAACAGCCGTAGTCTTATGAGACAAAAATGACACATGTCAAAAAAACATCCTGAATTCAGTGTTTCGTCCACAGGCGCTAACGCTGGCGTGAGCAACACTTAGGAACCTATGACGATCATATGACAAGAAAGGGCCCTTTTTGTTGGATGTAATGACCCGTTCCAAACTGAGCATGAGAAAGATTTGCGGTGGTGATTGCATGGGGCTTGGACACCAATATGAAATTTCCGGAAAAGCAGAACCTACAAAGAGCTCTGTGCAAGATGCAACGGGCTGTCGCTTGGACTCCATGTATGACTCACATGCGATCCAGTGCTTGGGAGTTAATATCATGTTGTCCTCGTAAAGTCATAACTCCTATTGCAATCCCAGCCGAAGTTCTTTTTTTCCCCTTCATACTCGAGCATACCTGCGAGCATAACACCCAAACCAGCATTCATCTGTGGCAGCGCCTCACCTAACATCTCTGGGCGGAGGGGGTAGGCATGAAGGGCTCTGGGGTTTGGATGTAGGAAGCGTGGGTTAAGCTTGAGTTGGGCAAGAAGCCAAGAAAAATCAGAACACAGAGCTTGACACGGCTTGCGAATTCAAAAGGCTCAATCAAAATCAGAGTTGGAATGTGCCGCTGCTGATCCAGAATGCATAGAGCCAGTGACTATCAGGGACCCTGAACCCTAATCCCTAAGCCCTGAACACATGAGCCATAGTCTAAACTCCTAGTATCCCCCTTAATAAGCCTTATAGTAGTCCCCTATATAATCCCCTATATAACCCCCCTTTAAGGAGTTTAGAATATAGCTCACATTATTTCGGATGACAGTGGAGTTGGTCTACTCAAGATGGTCACCATAGACTGGAATCCTTGAAGGAGACCACTGCTGTGCCCCTTTAGTCTCTATATGGTAGGGGTTTGGGGTTTAGGGTTTAGGGTTTAGGGTTCATGGTTTATGGTAGTAATATAGGGATAATGGAAAAGAAAAGGGAAACTGTTGCAATATAGGGATAATGGAAAAGAACATGGAAACTGTAGTAGTATAGGGATAATGGAAAAGAAAATGGAAACTACTATACTATCCTAGGGTTATCTTGGGGTTGTAATGTTAAGGAATTTCTCTATTTTTTCCAAGACGGGTCACTATGGGTTTCCCTTACAAGGCAGGCCCCTACATGATTTTTCCCGTTTTGGGAACCGTACTTGAGGCCAAGTCCCATATCCTATGGTCACATAGGGCCCCTCTTATTGAGAAATTCCCAAGTGCTGAAGCCCTGACCAGAAAGGCCTGCATCCGAACGCGGAGATTGGCTTCCTTACCAGCGCTGCACTGAGTTGTGAGGGAGTGGGCCTAGGGTTTAGGATTCAGATTCAAGGGTCTATAGAGTTTGGGGCAGCTCTGCTGGAGCTTCTCAAAGCACTAGCAGCTAGATTATCCAACAAAAAACGCGATAACCAAAACCGCATAGACTCCGCGCATGTGCGCAGACCGTTAGAGATATCCGGAATTTGGAGCCATCCTCCTTTGTTGTTGCAGATGGCGTCTTGACTCATGCAGGTCAGGGCATCAATATCTTCAAAACTGCAGGGGCCCCAGAGAGGAGCTGCTTCATAGATGCTGTCTGGACTATACAGGGGATCCAAAAATTAGTGGTACCATATTGGGGGTCCCTACAATAAGGATTGTCATTTTGGGGTCTATATTTCGGGTACCCTATTTTGGGGGAAACAACCATATTGACTCATGCATGGGCACTTTTTGATGGGTTCTATGGGGGTTATAGAGGGTTTATTGTGGGGGCTTTAAGGGGTCGGATGGCGACTCTAAGGGGGCGGCGTAGGGACTCTATGGGGATGGGGATGTTGGGAACATTTTCCAAAATCAGGGGTCACCTGGTAGTACCCCTGGTATACACCCAAATTCTATAACTCTCATTGTACAGACCCCCCACAAGGGTCCATTTGCCTCGTTCACCACCATGGTGTAAGATGGCAACAAGAGCCCGAGGTTCAAATGGTTTCCGGGGCCGACAGCGGTGCAGGGCGCTCAGGGCATGCAAAAGCAATGCTGTAAAAGCATGATATGATCAGGCACATTTTCGTAGTATTTTCATGTTAAGGCCGGCATCCCAACTGAGGTAATGAAGCCCTAAAGAACTCCATATGGGGGGTTCCCATAGTAGAAGACCATATGAGGCCTTGGGGAGCCTTATGTGGGGCCCCTTATAGGGTTCCGGGATTCAGTCCCTGTCCGGACAGGCGCCAAAGCCTTGTTGTTGCCCATGTTCGTGTGATTGCTGAAGCTCCGAGATAAGGTGAAGAGCGGTATGAAGAAGAGAAACGGTTGTGACAGCAACATGTTCATTGCTGAGAGCTGCCGAGATCGAGAAGACACTTGAAGAACAATGCCAGACATCTTCAGACAGGAATGTTTTTTCCAAAGAGGCGAGCCGGTCATATACCCCAAAATACCAAAACCCTCATTGAAACCCTCATTGAACAGTAGGCGCCCCTTACCCAAATCAGCAGAACTAAGAACCCATGCCAGTGAAGCCCAGGCAGCAGAAAGGTACACCCAAGAGTCAAGGTGCTCAATTATTAGGTACTCTGGAGTTGGGTTGTAGCAATTACTTGTAATACAGGCCATACCTATTTCCAGCTGAGGCGGCCACTGTGGACCTGCTTTCCTGTACGCCTCTCATAGCCAAGTGCGCTTCTGAAAGCTGCAGTGGGCCCCTAGACCCTACACCCTAAGCTAGCGGGCAAGTGCAGAGACCCAAGCGCAATGGTGGTGATGGTGATGGCGCAGTCGGGAAGAAGGTAAAGCAGCAGTGAGAAGAGCACAAGCAGGCGTGACTGCTTAAGCTTGACAATGAGGGAAACGAGGAAGGTCAGCTTACATACAGGCTTCAATTCATTCTCAGATGTTTGGCGTCCATGAAGGGTGCCAATCATGCGGAGAGGGGCCACAAAAAGACTCGCAAAGAAGCTTCCACATGTAAATTGTTGTGCAAATTTCCCTTGTGATGCAGGTACAAAGATGAGCTTCCTCCAGACTTGGATATGCCAGAAATACGAGGCAGGCTCCAAGAATTAGGCACCCCTTGGTGTCAATAACAGCAGGTGAGCTAGAGTATCTGAAAATCTAGCCCCTTCAACTGCCTGCTATTCAGGCCTATGGACGCCTAGCAGGGATCCTATAAAGGGTACTTGGGGGGGGAGGCTTGGAACTTGAGTGGAACGTGGAGTGATTTTGAGCTGTGGCGATGCTGTGCTTGCGGATTCCCATGAATGCCAGGGCCCCCAATAAGAGGGTTTAGGGTTTAGGGATATGGGGTTGTAGAATAACCCCGCGCCAGAGGATTATGTCCTGGCGAGCCGCGAATTGCAGAACGTGGGGTTTTAGTTTTCAAAAAACGATAAGTGGAAAAAGCAACGATAACGAACACGAGAAGCCGCAGGACTTGGAAAAACAATAAGAGGAAAATTGAGTGATAACAACTTTGCGGGTCAAATAAATAGGAACAGTGTTTTTATACAACCCCAGGTGGTTATCCTGCTTATCACCGCTCCCAAAATGGACCCCAGTTTTTTGTAGACCCTAATCACCCTATCTAATCCCGGTTTTCATTTCGTGCTCCACGTTCTTTTCCATTCGATTCTGCATTATTGGTGTGATATTCCCTCAGCCCCAAATTCTAATGCCGTGCTGTAGATATCAACTTGTGTGCAGGCAGACTGCGAGAGGAGGATTACACGCCCTACGTCATTACATCCCTGCAGGATGGGAAAACTGTAATTGCGAAGAGTTTAGGGTTTAGAGTTTGGAGGCTGGGGATTAGGGATAGGGAATAGGGGTTAGGGCTTATGCAGCTTTCTGGTGGTCTTCATCGGTTGAGGGCTTAGGGCAATGAATATTGTAATTCTGTAGGAATTATGGGGGGATCCCTTGAGGATTATGGAGGGCTGTGGGGATTATGGAATCATCCCTACGTAGATCTCTACCAAAGGATGTAGCTATATGTAGCTTCTACAGTTGACTTCGAAACCTTCCATACTTGTACTTGCCTAAGGATGGCCGCGAACATTTTGAAATGTCGGACGGACATGTCCTTACGCTTCAAAAAAGGTACCACAGCATGGATACACACCATTTTGAGTCTCTTTCTAGGCCGGCTTGATGGTCACCATTTTATTCATGCCGGTTGATATAGTGACCTTGATTTTGAGGAGTACGAACGCTCATAGGTAGCCCTACATGACGCGAGGACAGCTAGTCTTAGCAGTGCTCGCTACACCCTCAACCCTTTCGATCCGTATTCCAGCGTCTTTGCAGCTTTACGTAATCCCTACATAGTAATTTCCAAAATAGGGGATCTCAGTTAAGACCCCAAAATATTATAATCCTTTTATTGGGACCCCCAAAATGGTAACCCTAATTTTGGGAAACACTAAACCCTATATAATTTAGGGAACCCCACATTGGGTTTCTTGAGCTGTTCTTCTTTCAAAAGCTTTCTAAAGACCAGCGTCCAAGTAGTTGAAGTGCGTAAAGCCAGTTGGATTAAAGTAAGTACCCACGCAGTCCCCATGTGAACTATAGTCTAAACTCCTTCAAGGGGGTTATATGGGGGGACATTTAGGGGACCTTGACACGGCTAGGAGTGTAGACTAGCTCATGTTTAAGGCATTCTGAGTTGCCATGGCATCCTTCCATAAGAGCCAGATGGGCAACTTGATTGAAATCCTGGTTGGCATAATTCGAGCTCGCCGCCGCATGCTTCTTGAAAATCTCTGGACTCAGGGGGGGTTTCGTCATGACTGATGAGATTATGCATAGACTCAGTGGTGCATGCATGCATTCTTCGTACATACCTATGTACCTATAAGTACAAACCATGTTTTCCTCGAAGTCCTCGTCATGACACGCCACCACCAAAGTGTTCACCAATGCGCAAATACGGGAGCTTTCCAACAGTAATTCAATCCAATCCATCCACTCGATTATGGGGACACCCGTAACCTGGACACGCATAATCTACATATAAGGGCTGGTGACTTGGTGGGATCCTTTCTGACATACGGTTTAGTTGTGCTTTTGAATCACCACGCCTGCAAGATGCTGCAATCCGAGGTTGACTGTAAGATATTGGCTCCAGCGAGTGCTAGACAAGGCCTGTCTTCCACAGAGCGCCATGAACGGTTTGCACTTTGTGCCCCCTCGCGGTCTGGAAATAAACATTCACCCGGCCAGCTTCGGGCATCGTGATGTGCAGTCGCCCATGCATTCACGTCTTTAAAGGCGGATTATGCAGCAAAGGCTCCCAATGCGGGTATTGCCACAGCCTTCACGAGGCCGCGCCAGTGAAGATGAGAAAGTATCTGCGCAAGCTGTTCGCACGCATGTCTCGAGAGGAACAAATGTTCGTCCTCCTCTGCCACCTCAGCAACTAGGCCGTTCTGTGGACTACTTGTGTAATCCCCGCCGTTATGTACTTCCAATGTAGTATCGTTTCATATGCGTTCTCCGCCTGGGTGTTTGGGGAGAGGGTTCATTATGGTAACTTAAGCCCTAATTAAACTCATAAACCCTGTATACCCATATGAGCTAAAAACTAAACTCCTAGTATCCCCCTTTCAAGAAGCCCCATAATACTCCCGTATATCATCCACTTTAAGGAGTTTAGATTATAGATTATATTATGGTAACTTAGTTTAGGTTCTATTTGGAGGGACTGGGTCAAACCCTGAACCTTACACCCTAAACCCTAAACCCTTACCACTAAATGGAGTTCTCAGCAGCTGAGGCAAGCTCTCAGCAGAGCCAGGTTTCCCTGCAGAGGCAATGGAGCTTCTAGGATTCCTGTTAAGGAGCCTCAATTAAGTTGCCATAATATGGGTGTACATAGGGTTTGCTGGAAGTTTAGGGCTTAAGGAACCTCAATTAAGTTACCATAATATGGGTGTATATAGGGTTTAGAGGTCTAGGGCTGAAGGAACCTCAATTAAGTTACCATAATATGGGTGTATATAGGGTTTAGGTTTTAAGAGCTTTAGGGCTTAAGGAACCTCAATTAAGTCACCATCGGGCTTGGGGATTAAGTTGCCATATTGGGTCTAGGAGGTTTAGTGTTTGGGGTGCTGGGATGAAGCTACCATAATGGGTATATAGGGTTTAGGGTTTAGGGTGTATATAGAAATAGCACCTAACATGGTTCCCTAGTATAGTAACTTAAACTAAGTTCCTTCACAGCAACCCAGGCTTCTTCAATGTTGCACCTCCGAGTGGCAGCAGGCACTGGCGGGTCCCAAAATCCTAGAATCATGCTGGCAGTTTTCTTAAAACAGGATACTTTTAGTTCTCAAATGCGGTGCTCGTAAGAGAGTTATGAGGGTTTCCCTCGAGGATTAGGTCAAACCCTCAAATCGAAGCTGTTCCCAGGATGCTGAACGCCAAAGGCACTAATCTCTGACAGCTAAGCCCCTAAACCCTACAGGTCGCTCAGCAGTCCGGGCTTCTCCAGCTTAGCCTAACCTCGGAGCAGCTGAGGGACATGCACAGGGGCCTCTCGCGCATGTCCCTGGGTTGTTGCTGGCGAATGCTTTAGGTTTTACTGTATGCCCGAACCATCCGAACCAACATATAGATGTAAAGAGTCGTCTCAATCTCACCTTAACAAGATTGAAGGTCCCTCTACGCATTGTTCACGCAGTTCCCGCATTCCTCACCTGAGCATATGCGGGCTCTCATCGAGCATGTCCGATTGCGGATGGCTGTAGCCAGCTGCAGCAACACACCCAACGTGGTGTATCGAATCTGCCTGTAGTGTTCCATGAGCCCCGCCTTCAGTCCCCGTATGAGGTCGTTATCTTACATCGTGCTTTATCTCACATGTGCTAAACGCAACGGTTTCGAAGGTACTGCAGGAGCGGGCTGAAGCCTGAAAAGTCGATGCGCAATGTGGCTCTTTCGTTGAGCCTCTCATTTAAGCAAGACCTTGATTTTCAGGATGTGATTGCAGACGTTTCTCAAAATCGGAACGCATGCCTATAGGCAGTCTATGGATCTACGCGGACTACAAAGTAAGTACAAGGGTTCCCTATCAAGGGTGACTTTTCTCGATGTTTTGAGAGACTCCCTTTTGTCGCGGCCGACAGGCCGCTGCTAAGGTCGCGACTCTTGGTGCCGTGCTTTCTCGAGTTTATCTTGTCACGCCATGTTGTACCCAGTACGTCTTGAAGCTTTCTCACGCATCTGCGGGAATCCCACAGGAACAAATGAAGTTCACACATTCGGTCCAAACCCATGGGCCACTTGACGAATTCAGACCCAACACCTTTGGGCGCGTGTATTTGCGCCCTTGCGGCAGCTTTGCCGCTGAAATATTGAGAGGGCCAAATCTTCGCAGGCTAGGCCGAACCTGGCCTGTCACGAGCTTTGCAGCTCCACTTTTTCGAGGTGCTTGCTCTGACTGAGACAGCTATTGGAGGAGTGAGCGTCAAGTGCTTACATTTGTTGCAATTGCTTCCTGGTCGTGCTTCCTTCTTTTGCGTTTGGTATCTACTGGCATGTTGTTCCTTGCTTCTCTTGCCTTAAAGCCCAGATTCTAGCCCTCAAACCCACAGATCCTGAGCCATGTAACAAAAATTATGCAAGCTCGAACCCTGCCAAGTGGAATCTAGGGCTAGCACCACTTAGGATCCGAAAATGCTGGAAAACCTAGGGTGTTGGGTTTCTGAGGTGCCGCAAGATTTCCTTCATCCACAGTAGAACCCCCAAACTCTCGATCCTGATCAGCAAAGCTTTCTGCGGCTAGTGTCATTTTTATGAAGCCTCTCCGTCTCATTCAAGACAACTCCTCGAAATCCAAGCTTCCAAAAATCAAGGCTGAGGGTATAGAGTCCAGGGCTTCGACTTTCTTTTTGAGTGCGGCTTCGTGAGTCATACTAGAGCCATTTGGCTCTGTGTCCGGAAAAAATAGGGCTTTGGCCTCTGTCGAGTTCTGCATCATGCCCCCGACGCTAGACCCTGAACTCAAAGCAGTTGACTTACATATTGGTTTAGGGTTCAGAGTTTGGCACTTAGGGCTGAGGTTTTTGGCAGTTTAGGGTTCAGGTTCGGGTTATAGGGGTTAGCATGCAAGGCTTTGGGCGTTTGGGATTTCACGGATTGAGGGCTGCCGTGTGATAAGGAGTGGTTTGATATGGGGTTCATGGGGTATGTGTAGTCAATTCTGGAGCTCGCAAGTGCAGCGGCCCTTTTTGGAAGCTGCCAACTGTGGCTGCTTAACAACTCATCTGCGCATGTGTTTCACTGTCGCAGAGGAGGTCGCAAGCTGCAAGCTTGTTCGGGGGCCTCCAGTGAATATGAATCCAAGGCAAGATCTGCATACTTCACCGCCGAGGAGGATATACTGCCTAGCAGAACCAATCTACTCCCTTCAGTCAGTTGTTTGGTGTGGCTTTGGGGTATGTTAAGATTGTCTTGGAAAGAAGCTCCACAAGTACGTCCGAAAAAGAAGGTACTTCCCGGTGCTAAGTAGGGAATGGAACAAAGTGGGGGCCATGATTTAGGGATGACTATGAGGATCCAGCTTCTCAATCCCTACTCAGCGCCAGGCCCCAAATGGGTGGTTGTCAAAATTATGGTCCCTTTTTGGGTACCCCAAATATTAGGTGCCGTATTTTAATAGGGATCCAAAAAGGGACCATAATTTTGACAACCACCCAAATATGTGTGCGTTGCAGATAACTGTGGGGCGAGGTTGCTGGAGCCCCCTGCCAATTCGGCGAGCCGAGAGTTCAAGATGCAAGGTATTTGGTAGGTTCCCAAAGTAGAGGGATTCCAATGTAGACCCCAATATACTATAACCCTTCTTATGAGGACCCCCAAAAAGGTATTCATAATTTTGGGAAGCCCTCATTTGGGCTTGCGTGTGGGGATTGTGTCGGACAAGGCAGGATCTTGTAGTTTTTGAGCCTAGCAGTCATGCTTTGGTTTTCGGCGCTTCGGTTTTGTGATTTGGGATTTGAGGTTAAAGTTAATGCGAGGCTTGCATTTTTGAGCTATTTGCTATTGCGATTTTCCAACAACTCGTGCGGATGTACCATTTCCCCTTTGGAAGCAAGGCCATACCCCTAGAAAACTTTGCTAGGGCCTCCGCAGTCAATCTGTCATCATTGCACTTCCCAAGGTTTCCAAAGCACGCTTGATTTGAGAACCTGCCTTGGCTGTGTTGAAACTTAGGTGTTCTTATGCTTAACACGATTATCGTCCTAGATGCTTTATGTAGCTACGGCAGAGTGCACCTCGAATTGACGTCAGCGTGCTATCCATTATAATTCGCTTTGACTTCAAAATCCCATTTTTCTGGTGGTGATTATTTAGTATTAGGTTTCTACATTGATTCTACAGTGGTTGCCGTTGATCTGTTTTTGGAAGCGAGCCTGTAGGATCAGGTCTCTTTCACACATCCCAGGGACCGCGTTGCTTGGAAGGGCGGGTAGGTAATGACTTACTTGCAACTGTAGGATATAGGGGTTTCCCAGACTTAGGTACACCTTTTTGGGGATCCCCACAACGAGGACTATAGTATATTAGGGTCTATATTGAGGTCCCCTTCTTTTGGCAAACTACCATATACGTTACCTAACTATGGTCATAAGAAATATAGCTGGATTGCGCATGGAATTGTACGAAGGCTTTAAATATGCCCCGCCCTTCCAGTCCTCTGTGTTGGGATAGCCCGTGGGCTTTGTGAGGGGACCCTATCTACCACGAAGCTGGGTTGCTGTTAAGGAACTTAAATTAAGTTACTATATTGGGGAAACCCTTTTCATTATTTACTATATGTATATACCATTATGGTAACTTAATTTAAGTTCCTTAACAGCAACCCAGGAAGGATAGCATTGCCAGCGCCAGATTGAAGGCTGCAGGCTGTCGTTGCCCACGCGACGCTGAGGTACAAAGACCTTCGCATGGGTGTAGTTAGGGTTTGGGATGTAAGGTTTAGGGTTTAGGGTTTAGGGTCTTTGAGAAAACATCTGTCTGGATTTGTAGAAGCAGCTGCATTCGTAATTTTTCCTGGGTTCAGGATAGATTATTCTCAGATACGCGCTGTCAATTCAGACTAGAACACCTGGGTTTCCCATACATGCAGTGAGCCCAACATCAACATTGGCTTGGAAGAGCCCCTTGCAAAAACGGACTTCAGAATGGGTGGACCTTCGTCACTTCTTTGGGTATATGGGTATAGCAGTATGGCTTTCCTTCATGAGGTATCGAGGTAAGTCTTAAACCGTCACCCCGAAAGATGACTAAGCCATGCTAAGCTAAGCTGGGGGAAAGGTATGGGGGCATTCACGGCTGCTGCCGGGTACCCTTGGTCGCGGCGTCTTGCCCCACCCTGCCCATCCAAAAAGGACTTGCTAAAAAACGAAGAAGATGTTTTCTTGAAGGAGAGCAGGACTTCTAAACTCTAAATCGTTGTGTGGTTGTCCTAATTTGGGGCTTGGTGTGGGCATCCATATGACAGCACGGCATGCCCGAAGGCGTGCCATGCTACTCTCGCCGTCCTCCCGAACAGGGTTTCCTGTTGCAGTGAGCTACATGTACTTTCGTCTAAACTCCTTAAACTGGGGTTATATAGGGGATTATGTAGGGGACTACTATAGGGGTTATGAAGGGGGATACTAGGAGTTTAGACTATGGCTCACATGGGGATGCAAGCTAAGCCAGGGTATGCTGACTCCTGAGGACCTACAGGACCTACTGGAGCAAAGCATCCCTGGCAATTGGCCTAACTGCCTCCTTCGGATTGGGTATGACTAGTGCAGCCTTATGGTATATTGTAATATATGATAGCTAGACTTTCATCAAGAAGGCAATATCCCAAGTCCAGGGCAGAGGCTCAGAATTTTGAGACGCACCCATTTGCGGCCCGAAAGTCTGATTCTGAAGCAAGCCAGACGGAAACCTAAAAAACTCCCTAGGATGGAATGGGGGAATGGATTCCTATAGTAGTCCCTATATAATCCCTAATAATAATCCCTATAATCCATTCGCCCATTCCCTCCTAAGCACCAGGGAGAAAAGGCTGTGGGTGACGGGTTTAGGGTTTGGGGCTTATGGTAAGAGTCGATGGAGGAGATCCTGGGCTGCCTAGGTACTTCGGGTTTCTAAGCTACTGTCATTCACACAGGGCCTAGGAAATATGTTGTGCAAACTGATACATCTTGGTGCTACATCCGCGCTATCATTCCTTTTCAGGATTGGGGTTTGGGGCGGTGCTCTCCTTTCGTGTAGAGTAAGCAGTGCACATCTCAGCAAAAGCGTTGTACCCATAATTGCGTGGTGTTCTGGGGTATAGAACCCAAGTGCGAGGTCCTTTGCACTTTCTTACATAGAGCGCTACTTCCACATCCAGGTCTAAGTATTCAGATTTCGATGTGCCTTAAACCGCGAACCAATTTGCGGCCAGCTTCGGGCACAGAACGTAGTGTAGACCGGCCAACCAAAGCATGTAGAAGCAAGCCACATGAGGAACCGAATATCCAAGCCCTGTTTGAACACACAGCAACAACCCAACATCAGCTGCTCCCTGTAACGGTTTGTCTCCTACGTCTACAATAAGCTGCATTGTCATTTGTCAGCAGCTCCCAAACAACCCCCATATAACCCTGTATAACCCCAATGAAACCCCAATATAACCCGCATATTCCTGTATAACCCCAATATACTCTATAGTAGCTGTTCCAGGAGAGCGATCGCATGAACCTCCTCGTGGGAACAATAAGAAACTCTCTGACGGAGCTGGAGCTGGGAATCAGCGGCAGCGGCCCCAGAGCCAAGAACGTGGGGGGTTTCTCCAAAAAGGGGTGCCTAGGAACCGCGGGAATAGATCAGAATCCTACAAGTAGGGACAATTTGTGGGCTGCGCCATAAGGATCCTTTTGAAACAGTTCTACGTGATAATAACATATTCGGAGATGGACTTCGCTGAGTTGTATTTGAGCCTCGTGCCCTGAGACACTGTGGATGGAGGATATCTTGCACCTCCTCATGTATCCTATTACCCCAGTAGCTACAGCACTTTGGGCTTCCCAGTGGTGCAAGATTTCACCCATTCACCATAGGTAGGAATCCACGCTTCAACTTGGGGACTTCCTCCACGCAGACGTGGAGCCCCTTGTATGCCCCTTCAAAGGGGCCCGCAGACGCTTTACGTACGCTTTCTCGGGGATTTCTTAGAACTTTTCTGTGAGCTTGCTTGCCAAAGGTGCGCTGAATGTGACGGAAGGGATGGAAGCTTTGTCCACTTCCCTCCAGCTGAACCGCGTGAACAGCACCTGGTAGGCGGCCCAGGTGATGTAGAAGTCGCTTGGAAGGTTTTGCAATGTCAGGGTTTCCTCCCTCCGTACGCTTACCCCCAAGTATATACTGTAGTTCCTTCTATAGAGGCGTATCCTCATATCCCTATGTATCCCTATGTATCCCCAGATATCCTTGTGTACCCTTATATGCACCTCTGAAAAAAAAACAAGTAAGCTCGAGAAGCTCCCTTGCAGTCGAGGATGCCTTTGGAAAATGGAAACCCCAAGGAGGGTAATCCATGCCAGTGCTCCGTAAAGGGGGTTATATAGGGGATTATATAGGGAACCATTATAAGGGTTGTTGCAGAAGCCCGCAGAAAAATCATTCTCCACTTCTAAGCCTCTGTTTGGTAGTGTAGTAACTAGTGCAGATTTGGGACCTCCACAAAACCACACTGAGAGATACACCTTCGTCTGTTTCCATATTGCGGATGCGTCGTGCTCAAAATCATGTTACAAAATATTGTGTGATCTGCTTCTTTGTTCCTGTACTAGCTGCTAAAAAACTATCCCACAAATATGGAAAGCCCAGCAGTGTCATTTACATGTCTAGTCTGAACCAGGGGTAGAACTGCGACTACTCCAGTTCTACTCAACATCAAGTCACGTCTACCACAAAATGCCAAGAGCATCAAACAATGCAAAGAAAAAAACAATGGCAATTGTCACACCAGTATGTTCACAATGAAAGGCAAGCGTTGTGCATGAGGCAGCAGCTGGCTTATCCGTCGCTGAAGCCGCTGAGCGGATGGTTTGCTGACCTATTGAGCCGAATGCAGCAGCCAGAGACTCATTTATTTTCGAAACCTGAGTGCTTTCCGAAACTATTCTGTTAGTCCTTACATACCTACATCGGATCATATGCCCCCACAAGCCTGTTCTACTTAGATAGGACCCTACATTCTTGCTTGTAGGCTTTAGGGATGTATGGCTGTTGGTTGGTGACGGTTCAGTATAGGGTTTGGGGTAGCCTTTGACCGCTGGGACCCTACACGCTATATCCGAACCCTAATTCTCTACATCTTGAAGCTCGAAACCTTTGAAGGGGTTTTACAGGATTTCTACAGGCTACATGAGCCACAACTGTAGTTCCGGCTCTTAACATCTGTTGAACGTCGGCCAAAACTTCTGGAAATCATGCGTTTAGTCTGCAAAATGGATGGAGCCATACGTCGACGCCTAGTGAAATGAGAAGGTAATTCCTTATAAGCCCCTACATAAATCCGGTTGCAATTTAGGTGCCCCTTTTCTGCTTTATTTGGTTCTCCAGTAGTCTAATAATCATTGCGCCAAGCTTGGCCACCCAGGCTTGTTGAGTGGACCAACGAGCGATCTGGGCTGCTGAAATCGACACTTTGCTGAATGGAGCATGTTGCTTTGCTACGCGCGTCCAACCTGGGGGTAGCAGCCTTTCATTGCCTTAAGTCACAACACAGAACCGAAAGTGCAGGGGCTTCTGCAAGATTCTTTAGATACCATATTTCTAGGAGCAGCCGGGCCCAGCATCCGCAACCATCCAAGCAAGGATTTGGATTTCCGGCCTCTTCAATCCAATGGCATTCCTCACAGCAGTGATGCAGGCCAGGAGCCAAAGTTTGGATTCTCATGGCCGCGCAGTTTCAGCTTTGAACTTGAGTGTCTCACCCGGATTGTGTAGCCCTCTTGGAACTGCAGGGTCCGTACCCAACATGTGTCGCGAAGCCTACGGCTTAGAACTGTGCCCAGGTTACTGCTCGGAATAAGCAGCTGCCGTTGGACTACATGACAAACAGGGCAACCTTCCTCAACATTGTGGACTGCCTCGCGGGAAGGGAAGCCCATGGAAGCGATTGACGTGAAGTTTGCAGAGCAGACACAGTGAGCTCGTTGATCCTTAAGCGGGCGAGCTATTCTACATTCCAAGAGCAGGGGGAATGGAAAAGAAAATGGAAACTACTATAGTCTATGGGGTTATATAGGGATAATGGAAAAGAAAATGGAAACTACTAAAGCCTGTTCGCCAAATTTCCCTCAGACCATCTCAGATCCCCCTTTGTCACACAAACAGTTGTACCTGGCCAGGACATTGCCGACATCATCGGCCTGCCTGCAAACGGTGTACATATACATGGGCGCGGACCTGAGTGGCTGGGGGTCTTGGGGTTTAAGTCTTTGGGTTTAGGGTCAGCAGCTAAGTGTTCAGGGCATAAAGTTCGAGGTTTGGGTCAAGAGTTTAGGGTTCAAGTTTAAATTTTTGAGGGCACTGCTCGGCGCTTCTTCAAATTCCACATCAGTGGTCCCGATTGTTGGAGGTCCCTCCGATATCGATCCCTTTCAGCTACGATCCATGCGTCGATCAGTATTTGATGTGATGTCGTAGGGTGATGTGAGCTTGGGAGCTGCTTGCCCAGTGTTAGCGGCGACAGCCTTGACTGGCTGTTGTTCTCAGCATTTTAAACCGGGCCCTTCAATCTGTAGGTGGGGCCCTTAGTCATTTGCGAGGAGGTTGATAACAAGCAACGCTAGCGTGGGACAACAACGGCATTGTAGTCAGAGACTCTGAGCTGCCCCTGATAGGCCTCAACTATTTCCTTTCAGCAGGTGACCACGTGTGTAGCCGCCCCGCACGCAATGCATGCTCTGCTTCTCTTGACCTGAGTCTTTCTATCTTAATGGGACTCCCGCTTTGGACGGGGGCACTTGGACAGCCCAAGCTCACGGTGTCCACAGCTGCACAGCAGTCTCGTGGCCGCCTGCCCTCCTCTTTGTGTAAAGCTTGTTGATGCGCAGGCTCTTCCTAGAAGGCGCCAGTTGGGAGGAGGGCAAAGGCGACGATGAGGTGCGGCACAGACTTCAGATCTCATGTGTTCCGGATGCGCACAGTCCAGACTGATGCTGCGTGGGCGCGCAGTTCACCTACCGTTAAGAAGATTCCGCATGCAAACTAAACCATCCTTTAAAACGTGCCTGCAAAGGGCTACATCTCTGACAGCAAGATGAAGGAGCTTCATCCAGAGATGTTTGTGGCTGAGATTGTGCTCTTATCTTCAGTTGGCTTTTCACGGCTGCTGCAATCCCCTGTTGAAGTGCCGCAGCATGACGCAGCGGCTAGCGCTAGCTGGTTGTAGGCGCCTCCGCAGTGAGGCCAGTGGTTAACATCTTCTCCGTCCACATCGCCGAAATGAGCTGGGAGAACATGTGCGCCTGGTTGGGGTTGAGCCATGACAAGGCTCCAAGACTCACATCGCAAGGTGTGCTCAAACTGGCTGAATGCCGGTGCTCAAAGGCTTATCCACACAAGCAGGTAGATGCACGTTCGAGCTAGCACTTGCTCGCCTTACACGTAGCACAGGGTGGGGATTGTACTTTCGTGTCTAGATACCTACCGCTGAACAGGAAGGCACTCGGGCCCAGAGACAAAGCTAGGGACGGGCACTTACAAATTCGTACCTTCACAATGCTTGCGACACATGGCCTGGTGGTGAAGCCCGAGCCCCCTTGGGCTGGGCTTGCCGTGCTCTGTCCAAGACCTTGGTTGCCCAAGGCAAGCACCTGTCTTCAAGGAAGCAAATTAATAGTGATAAGAATAGTAGTAATTAAAGTGAAATATGAGTAATAGTAATAGTCATAACACCCTCCTCTGCCGAGCTGAGCTTCGACTGCAGGTTATGGAGCAGCAAATTTACGACAGCTGCAGCAAGGAGGCTGTAGAGCCCTAAAACCTAAAACCCAGAGGATGTGCGCGGTGAGCTTTGAATCGGCACTGGCAGGACTACTGCGTTTGCTTCCTGCGGAGCCGCACGGGTAACCCACGAAGAGTGCCGGGCTCGGGGGTGCCTCACAATTTCACATTGTTCTTACCACTTATGAACCATTTATGACAAGTACTATGACTGTTATTGTTTCCAATTACCCCTTCCAGAAAGGCACTTGCTCAAGCTAGGGCCGCGGATAAATCTGTATATTATGTGTGCATATGTAAAAGCGTAAGTCCTATACATACGCCTATACAGTGACATAACCATACGATTATACGGGCACATAATCTTACGGAGTCCTTCCTTTAAGTTGCAGGATCTTGCGCATGAAAGCTCGAAGCCGGGGCCATCATCTTTGCGAACACCCCTAAGCCCCTTAACCCCTAAACCTCGAAAGCCCTAAAGCCCTAAGCCTCTAAACCCCGAACCCTAAGCCCTAAGCCACTAATCCAAAGCCACTACTCCCTAAACCTTAAAATAGTAGTTTCCATTTTCTTTTCCATCATCCTTCTCTAGCCACTATAACCCGCTATATCCCTCTATAAACCCATCTTGCTTTGCTGCCGCTCAGGCAACCTTTCCTGGAGGGTCACTGTCCCCGGCGGATCGCTACCTGGCCAAGAACAACTTGGTGAATGCCAGCGACAGCGAAGAGGTGTACTTAGGGTTTGGAGTTTAGGGTTTGAGCCTTTGGGGCTTGCAGGGTTTAGGGTGGCGGTACTTTACACCGCAAAACTGATATGGAAGTCGCACGGAGATAAGACATGTTGGAACAGGTCTTCCTTGGACTGAGACTGGCGGCTATACGCAGAACGTGACTTGGCCTGATCTTCGCTGGTCCCGCTGCACTGCCAGACATCTGCCACGCAGTGCGTGCAGGAGTCTCTCAACCTTGGATCACTTGGGCTTTTGCAATACAGCTTGCCCTCCTTGTTCTAAGCTGCGTATCGCAGTCCCACTATTATAGTACATTATATTACATTGGGTGCTTCCATTTTCTTTTCCATTATCCCTATATAGCCTTATATTCCCCTAGATTATCCCAATACTGCCCCAATATACTAATCAGCTGAGGCTAATGATCCTTAAGCCCCATAAACCCTGAACTCTAACTCCTATACTATTTTCCCCAACATACCCTTCTGCGAAAATGCCTGCTTGAGGTTCGAAGCCGCTGGCATCATGGCAGCTGCAAATCCACCTCCCAGCTTCGCACGACAAGAGCTGCAGAAGATACTTGTTGATTTAGGGTTTAGGGCTTGGGGTTGAGGGCTTCGGGCTTGGGGTTTAGGGTTTAGGGCTCAGGGTTTAGGGTTTAGGATTTAGGGCTACGGGTTTTAGGGCCATGATTAATAACTCCCCCTCCTTTTAAGGGCCTTAATTGATACTAGGATCCTTTTTATAATCTGTATTAAGAGAGGGGCTTTATCAGTCAGGGGTCAACATTAATGGTAACTGGTGACTAGCAGGGATTAAGGAATGGAAAAGAGCAAGCTACTGCATTGTTCAGAGCTTAGGGTTTAGTGGTGCTTAGTAGGAACTGAGGGCATGTAGTCTTGGGCTTGTTTTTGGGCAGTTGTTGGGGGCTGCAATTGGGGTACATGTCTTTACTTCCTTTTGACCACCAGTAAGGATACTGCTTCGAGAAGGGCCAATGGCTTTCCACGCATTTCTGGATGATTGGGGCATCCGGCTGAGACTCTCAGTGGCAAGTGGCTGGTGGTTGTATCCAAGCTGCTGGTGTTTAGCTTGCCATAGTTGGGAAGCAGAAGCTAGAGCATCAACAACAGATGAGACATATCGAGCAAGAGGCGCGTGGATATGTCTGTATGTGTTTGTTTACGTGACATACACAACATGACTGAATATGAAATAACAGAACATAACATCACGTACCATGCACAAGATATATGACCTGATACACGCAGCATGATTTACATTCCATGCATAACATACATAACGTAGACGTAATGGGCTGAGAGGCAGACAACTGGAAGAAATGTTAGTTTTCCGAAAAAGGGGGCCCCAATATAGACCCCAATACACAGGAATCCTTATTACAGGGGCACACATCCCTATAGAACCCTATTATATATATCCCCAATAAACCCTAATTTTGGGAAACCCTACACCTTAATCCCTAAACTCTATATATTCCTGTATATCCTTATGTTAACCCCTATGTACACCCTATAACCCCTTTACAGGTACCCCTAATTATGGGAAACCCTCAAAATGCCAAGGACCGGAAGACCTCTTTGAGCTCTCCTGGTTTCTGATGCCGGGGCCACAGGGGGAAGAGCACATCTTCTTGGTGCAGATCCCAGATGCCGATGAGGTGGGGTTTCAAGTAGCATGGGTCTTTCTGTGAACGTAATCCCTGTACAACCCCTATGGGGATGGAGCAGGTCCTTCGTCGCTAGGATCCGCCAGATAGTTCAATAGTTCTTTGTTCACTAGTCACCAGCATCTCGTCCTAGACATCCTACTGTGAAGCTTGACACCTTTGGATCCTAGATTCGCATGATTTGTCAAGAAGCCCTCTAAGGATGCCCCTCCAGGGTGTGGGGTTTCAGACCAAAGGGACAGGCGTGACATTCTTCCGGAGGTCTTGCCGTTTCATGCATGTACAATCCAAGGATACTTGTGAGAACACATGGAAGGTTGTCTGAATTATGGTCCCTTTCAGAAACCGATGATATTACGGCGCTTAATTTTGGGGGTACAGGAAGCAAACTGTATAAACCTTATATAGCCCTTATGTACTTCCCAAAAAAACGCCATGTTTCGATCAGTCTGAGGGCGCCCATAGCCCTAAACCCCAAACCCTAAACCCTACAACCCTAAACCCTAAAACCCTAGATCCTGAACCCTAAACCCTAAACCAGTACAGGCATGTTGGGCCAACAATGCTGGGTCTGACGAATGTGACATAGTGTGGGCCACGCCGTCGGACTTGTTGGAGATGCACAGGCCTTCCCCGAAGCCTCTTTCTGTGGTGCTACGGTACTACTATTGTTACTCAAGCCAGGGTCATCGCTTTAAAGGTACCATGACTAGCTGACTAGCTAGTACGATTCTCATTACTGCTAGCACGACGCATTCCTATTACGAGTACTGCTACCTTTTAAACTACGTGCAATTGCTATTTCGATTGCTGATGGTTTTGTGGGTGTGGTTCTGAAACTTATGCTCCGTTCTCTCGGTTTTTTCTGATGCTGACTGATTCTGGGATGTGAAGGGCTAATACTAGCCCTTGCCCACAACTCTACAAATCTTGCCTATACAGCATACTATACTTTGGGACTGTTCTGATTGGGGGATTGGCGCCCCAATTTCAATACATGACCTCACCACTGGCAATCCCTAAACCCTATAAGCCCTAAACTAAACCCTACGACCCTACAGTCGAAATGAGGCGCAGCAAAAAACAACAAGCACTGAATCTTGACGTTGGCTTCTGCTAGGCAGCAGGAGCTGGAGCTGACTCTCGCACAATGGTGCTACGGCTGCGTTCATACAGACAATGGACAGAATCCCAGGGTTTAGGGTTTGGGGCTTGAGTTCAGGGATTCCTCAGTATTGTAGAAGCCAAATTAATCATCAATATTATGGTCCTAGATTCCTTGTCTAGTTGTGCTATAGACTACTTCAAACAGACCTTTCAATGATATGGTAATTCTTGTTCGCCCCTGCACTAACCATACTATAGTACCAGAATTCCCGGTGCTTATGACATCTACACAGCTGTATCACCTCCTCATCCCGAGCTGGAAGTTCAGGGGCAATGTGAATTCCAAGACACCTTCGTTTGTTTTTTAGGGTTTAGGGAAATGAGTCATGCCTGCAACCACTCCCCATCTCTAGAACATACAAGGGCCTTACAAGCCCTAAACTCAGGTATGTGTTAGGTCAATCCCCCCTTTAGTAATAGAACCTCAATATGAAGTTCATAGGGCCCTAATTTACCTAGAATAGTCCCTTGTGGTACCCATTACTTGGGTGGGAGATTGACCCAAGGTATGTGGCCCATGAGCTTGCCATCAATCTGCCACGTATCTGCATGCTGCCCGACCTTGCAAAGTCTCAGAGCTCCTCCCTCTGGTGCCCTGGCTTAACCCGGTAGTATTTTGTTTGGGGATATTATGGTACCACTATAGAGTAAGGTTACATCCTCCTTTTGGGGTATAGTATTTTATATATGGAATATCATCTTACTAGGTTTAACCACCAAAAAAAGGCTACTCAACTGTGCCTGACGGGTGGCGTCATTGCTGTCATGTGTACTTTGCGTAGGCCCCGGGCCACTAACCGTTAACCGTTCAAACATGGCTTCTTCTTTGGTCAGCCCCTGAACTTGGAGAACAAAATTCCATTCCGATTTCAAGCTCTTGAATGGCTCGGATACTTGGTAACTCAATCCAGAATTGAGCGCAAAATCGAGCACAAAATCGAGCGCAAGCTGCACAAACTGCAGTACAAACATGGGCACAATAGGGAGCACGAATCGAGCACAATCCGCATGAACAGCTGCACGCGAGTGAGTCGAAATCCGAGCATAATTTGTAGAACCGGAGGACAAACTGAGGGCAGCAACAGCACGTTATGACATAAGCGCAGACGGGAGCACCCAAACACAAGTTGTAAAACTGGAGCCCAAGCTTGAGCACAAAAGATTTGAGCATCCAAAAAACATGTAATCATCTGGATCAATAACATGAGCACGAAGTCCAGCCAATCCACTCAGACTAACCACAGTGAGCGCAAATTCAAGCACAAGGATCCAGCAAATCCGCTCACAAGAGTGAGCACAATGAACAACAAATAAACGACGCGGAAACACATTCAGTTTTGCATGTTTGTCGTGCGCCGGATCGTGCCCACTAGTTGTCAATTAGGTGGGCGTTTGATTTACACAATGTGTAGTCGTGATGTAGTTAGATGATAAAAAGTGGTGGTAGTCATAGTAGTACTTAGCAGCAGTAACAGGGGGAAAAGACGTTGAAGTAGGTCCTGATCACGCCAGCACTATAAACCCCACCAACACCCTTCAGTCCTTCAGAGTCAGTTTTTTATGCGCACAAAAAAGCTATGCCCTTCAGAGCCCCTGTCTATGCTGGAAAGGTGGTTTCCCAAAATTCGGGATAACCTTTTTTAGGGGTCCCAACAATAAGGATCATAGTACCCTGAACCCAAAACCCTAAACCCCAAACCCTTAAACAGTATTTTAAGGTCTATGTTGGGATTCCCCTTGTTTTGGCCAACTACCAAAAGGGCCCCTGAAGGTGGGCCCGGGCACTGCCTCTGAGCCGTTGCGACGGTGGGGCAGAGGAGAAAAGGGCTAAGGGTTGCTGGGTTTAGGGCTTTAGGGTTTAGGGTTTTAGGGTTTAGGGGTTAGGGTTTAAGGGTTTAAGGTTTAGGGTTTAGGGTTTAGGGATGCTTGGGTAAAGGATCTTACCTAGACCTCCTAGATACTCCAGTAGTACGCGTTTTCCCTTTTGTTTGGGGTCTCCTTATTAAAGCTGAACATTCGGAAACAGGGCGCTCTTGTTATTCAGGGGTTACAGGGAACCGTAGGCTCCTAAATACTCATAATAGTAGCCTTCGACCTCAAAACAATAGGTGTATGGGTTCTTAACATGGGTATGGGGAAGTCTAGGTTTCACCCTGGGATACACAGATATGGTGTACAAGGGAACTTGTGGAGTACCCCTGTATGAAGCAGCATTCTACAATCAGGCGTGAGTTCCGCCCTACCCTAAACCCAGAACCCTGAATCGTAGGAGTCATGCCTCCTCCTTCCTGGAGACGAACATCACCAGGAATGTCCCGGGAAGAACGGTGCCTTGATTGACACTGCCGTTTGCATTTTCTCCCCTTGTTTTAGACAGGCTTCCGGCAACCTACAAACTCTCAATCCCTAAACCTGCACCCTAAACCCTGAACCTTGAACCCTAAAACCTAAACCCCTAAACCCCTAAACCCAAAACCGAAATCCAAGGTGAACGGCACCGCTTTTGGATGCAGGCTGCAGGGGCTGCGGGACCCGAGCTGAGGGTGCAGCGATTTGAACGCACTGCGCCTGATGCTCCCTCCAGTCGGCTCTGAATAGGGTAGCTACTATTTAGGGTTTAGGGTTCAGTGTAAATGGGGATTTCCAAAAACTAGGGGTACCATTTTGGGGGCCCCAATAATGAGGATTATAATGTTTAAGTCACACAACAGCCTACCTGTAACCCAGTTCCCCACAATTTTAAAGGTTTGCACCTATTAGTTGAGGGTAGCTGGCACTAAACTGTGGATAGTTTGGGCTACAGGTGGGGAAATGTAAAACTCCGGCATTTTCATCGTCCAAGCTGCCTGAGCTGCAGCTTGCAGCTCTCGAACTGTTTAAGCGAATTTGCTTTTGTCGACAGAGCGCAATTTCTAGAGCGCTGATTTTTTCAGCTCCGCACTGCCGGCTTGCCCGTACATGTAACTTGCTCAGAATGATACCCAGGGACTTGTTTTCCGAGCGTTCCAGGGTGGACTTTAAGAGGAAATTCGCTTGAGAATGGAGGAGCGCAGTCTTTGCAAGCATCAACAAACGAGTACTATTATGTACAATTAGTCTGGTCTATAGACTTTCCAAGCACTGCAAGGACTGAGCTTCAAGACGCATGAGACATACGCAGACCGCAAAACATGACAAGCTATCGTCTAAACTCCTAGTATCCCCCTTCATACGCCCTATGAGAATCCGCAAAAAGCCCCTAGAAGCGTTTGGACTATAGCTCACATGGCTTGGACCGTGAGCTTGAATGACTGAGGTGATCAGAAGTTTCCTGACAAAGATCTGCTGCCTTCTGTGTCCAGGAGCCCATAAAGGGGGTTATATAGTGGATTATACAGGGGACCACTATAGCGGTCATTACGGGGGATACTAGGAGTTTATACTCCGGAAGAATTGGCAGGTAACAGAAAAGCAATGAAGAATTTGATCTTCGGCATTGAAAGCTCTGAAAAGTTGGGTATTCGGACCTGGAGGGTTACCTGAGGTACCACTGCCCTGTCTTCATCACTCCAGAACGCGGAGCAACGTACGTTACACAGGCCGCCTGCTTTCGTGGTTATCTAGGATACCAATGATGCAGGAGCGTATTCACAAGCGGATGTTTATCTTGAGAGAGCAGCCGTTGACGCACTGATGCTCAAGCCGGAGGTGGTGAATGAATCCACGCAACATTCCTGACCCAGTCCGTACCCACCTACTCCTTCAGCACCACTTAGATGAGGTCAATGTTCGGATGGATCCTGACGATGATGAAAAGCGGTGGATTCTTGCTGGAGCCGCACTGGTCCCATAGCTCAGCTTCTGAGGACCTCCCTGTACCAGGAGTTTCGCAAGATGGCGTATGCAAGATGTTATTGCGCTGTGATGATCTACAGCAAACCCGGCCAAGACATGTTGTTTGGGCAACTTTTGTTGAGAAATGCCCGCGCGCACCCTTGTGCGGGATTGCTGCGCAGAAGTAGGCAGACTGCTGAGTCGGCGCGTGCCCTCAAGCAGGACTGCAGAAAACATCTTATCCACATCCTTCATCGCCACCCATTCCGTCCTCCCAATTTCGAGTGCCTCAGGTCATGACCGACGACTGAGATCGTGAAGCCCGTCGATCTCAATCATGCTGGAAGTCACTGACATGATTGAAGTTGCTGCATGCAGAAGAGTTGAAAGGAGTTGGTTGCGTTCTTTCAGTGATTTCTGGCCAAGCATGTGTCCAAACAGAAATAATGTATATAAAGGTGCTATGCACCGCAGAAGCAGATAGCGACAAGGTTTGCAGCCTGGACGGTTGCCCATGGGAAATGGACCATTTTTGCAGACGTCTTTGTAGCTACTTGTGCAGTCCAAAATCCTCCAAACCTTGTTGCAAGATTTCACCTACCAGCGAAAGCAGGCAGTGCATGGTGCGCAGACTTGGTTCAATGAGGTGTCGTTTTTTGACATCTTGTCCTAAACCCGAAACCCTTGTGCTGGCAGAGGTTGAGGAGATCTGCGAAACTGCGCACACCTGCTCAAGT